CCCCGCTCTGGGGCTTCCACGCGGGAACCAAGACCATGACTCTTGGCGCCGTACGTATCTAAGAAAACCAGCGGAAATGTGCAGGAAGCATTAGCACGTCCTTCACCTGAAGCAGAGCCTTTTTGTTGGTGTGCTTGAGGCGTGGGCCAGCCATGGCAGACCCTTGGGTGAGTGCTGCAGGTTGGTGAAAAGCTTTCCGACCAGCTTCAAGAAGGGGTCCTCGGTCCTGCTTAAGGGGAAGTGGTCAAAGCAAAAAGCCCGCTTGAGTTTCCGAGTCCACCGCTATTTCGTGAGTCACACGGGGGGCTCAAAGGACCTGAAGCTTGGGGGTTATGGCTCAAAACCGTTTTGGGATCCCATTTTGGGATAATTCCACCACCCATTTTAGAACCTATTTCAGTGGGGATTGGTGGGGATTTTGGTTGGTAGGGGAATTCACCACCCATTTTAGGCTTCCTATTTTTGTGGTTGGATTGAATCGGATGTTCACTGGGAGTAGGATTTGGGTTTTGACCCATGGCCAAATCACGAGCACTGTTTGGGTTTGCGGCCCATGATGAGTTGGTTTCCTTGTATGCCCCCCACAATGGTCGATTGGGGAGGTGGAAGACAAGTTCTGGGCTTTCGTGGCTGAGGGCGAGCGCCGCATGTTCGCAGACAAACTAAAAGCCATTTCGATGCACAGCCCTCTGTTCGTTAGTTTCTCAAGATGCGACCTTGAATGATTAGGTAACCGTTCCACCAAGGGCTCTTCCCGGGGTTCAGCACTGCAGCCTCCCCCTCGGGCCCCCCACCTTGCGCGGCACAGGCGCCCGGCGCTTCCCGGAGTCGGCGGCTCACGCGGGGCCACATCCACAGCACTTGCCACGGCTGCCGCTGCCGGCAGAAGAGGCCAGGCCTTCGTTGGGTCGAGTTCCCTTCCAGCTGGGTTTCGCCTAATGACGCAACCCGCAAACGGCGCTGGCGGGAAACTGAAGGGATCTCCCTTCGGCTCATTCGCTCCTTCAATGAAACATGCAGCGGGGTAGAATAATAGGTATCTTGAGCCTCTTGAGGTTTTCCGTTTGGGTTTTTTCTCTTTTCGTTAATAACTCCCAACAAATCGGACCCACGGCCGCAGCCCCGCCCCCTCCCCTCCGCACCTCGCCAGGTGGACCTGGCGCCTCTCCGCGCCGCGGCGCTCGGCGCCGCGGCTTCGGGCGGCGCTTTGCGGCTCTTGGGGTCCCGAGCCGAAGGCCTTGCCACCCAGGACCCACCGAAATCCGAAATCCGCAATCCGCATGCGAAACGCCTTTGTTTCTTTTTGTTTGGATGCTGACCCCAGATGAACCAAGCCCTGTTTGTGGTTTTCGGCCCGAAGAGTGATATAAATCCCCCACTAACACCAGGGACACCCCCCTTATGAATAAACAGGGGTTGATCCATATGTATGGGTCAGCAATGGGACACCAAGACGAAATCCACCAGTCTTAGGAAGTCCTCCTTGTTTGTCTATCCCGCATTGCCACATGGAACCGGAAGTGGAAGAGGAATCAGCGGGTGGCCATGGCGCTTGCGTTTGGGGGTCGACCCTGGTTGTGCATTCGTTCTGGTGATTTCTATGCACCAACTCTTTTGCCACGCCCTAAAAGGGGGACATCCTAGACTTGGAGCATTCAAATGACCCATTTCCGGGGTGTCCCTTAAGAGGTTTGGGTGTATAGAAGTTCCTTTGGAGTGTTGTTTCCCACTTCTCTCAGATTCTGTTTTGTTCCTGTTTGGGACCTTAATATGGGTGCAACAACAAGCACAGCATCTTGGAACTTGTTTCGCCACGCATTTCCCATGATGAAATTTGGTTGATGGTTAAATCCATTTCCCCGTTCACATTCTGTTTTGGAACCATGACCGGCAGCGCCCCATGTGGCGTTTAAGACCCGCTAGGACCGCGTAAGCGGGCATGGTCCTCCAATGGCTCCTCGCAGCGCAAAGTCAGTATGTCATATGACATTTGTTTGGGATGTGCAAAGAATGTCCGACTTGGGTATGGGTCAAAAAATCGCCACCAGCATATAAACCGGAGGTTTCAGTCCTTTCCATTTGCCGCCCATTTTGGGGTTACCAACATGTTTTTTGACCCACCCACACCACTTGGCTCCCGTTGCTTGCCCCTCCGGACACCTTGCCAGCCAAACGCGCCGAAAAAAGAAAGTCGCAGGACAGCGACGTGGATGCGACCCTCATTTTGCCAGAGGAGCTGAGGGGTTCCTTTGAGGAGCAAAGAGAGCCTCGCCTGAAAATTGGCGAGGGCACCACCTGCATGAATTTGATGGACATGAATGCCCGAATTGTTGAGGTCCATAGAAATGTGTCTAGGTAAAAATAAATGCCCCGAAAGAGTGGCATCGCTTGCAAGGCGTGGTTTTCCGTTTGCACGGAAAGAAATTCCTGCGCACCTTGTATGACCATTGAAAGGGTGTCCTGGTTCCAAGTTCCTGTGCCGAGGATCTTCAAAGGCAAGTGCTCCGGAAGGTGCGTAACTTGGTGCAGGCGGGCCGAGTCGGCCTGTTCGGAGGTCGCTCGGCATGAAGCTTCCTTCCTTGAGCCCATCAGGTTTCAACAAAAAGGCGTCGGAGCGGCCTTAGATTTGACCTGAAAAAAACAACTCACATGTTGTATCCTGAGGTGACGTCAATCTGGGTAACGTGCGAATGTATGTCCTTGGAATGCCTCTTAGGTGCCAGACTTAGCTCACCAGTTTGTCCTTTTGGTTTTGCCATTGTTTGCTTATCTTGCTTCGCAGAATAGTTACCTTGTTGCGGTCAGCTCATTTGGCCCAGAGCTATGTCGATTCAAGACTCCGGGTTGCCCGGGAACTGAACGAGAGGCTTGCAAATTGTGAAGATCTCACATTGTGATACAGGTCACTTGCCTTATTCAAGTTTGTGAGTCATAGTGTTTTGCCCGAGGCTCGCAAAAAAGACGTCCCAGCTAAGGACCTAGCTAGGATATGGCTGTGGGTCAAAAAGATGGTACCAAAACGGCACCTTAAATGAAACCAAAGACTAAAACCTGCGTAATAGCTCTTTCATTTTGAACCACACCCATTCATGGCAATCTAAGGTTCGACTTTGGTATGTTCGGTCATCCGGCAAGCTTGAACCTTTAAGCCTTCAGCAACCATACTTTTCCCAGCTGAACCAAAACTTTGGGACCCAACTCATGCATGTGTATATGTCCAGCCAAAAGTTGGGAGCCAACCGTTTGCCCCAGAAACCCCGCCGAAATCGGCGTGGGACCAACCCGGGCGGAAGCTGAGCTGCCCGAGTCCTTCGGTCGCAGGGATTGGATGGCTGGGAGGTGCAGGAGCTGGTGTTGGAGGCAAAGAGGCGTGGCTGTCGACCGGAGGGGGGGGGTGGGGAACTGGGAACGGGTGGTTGGTGCTAGCTGGCTGCTGAAAGAATCCTGACCCAGTTGATGTCTCAATGCCTGGTTGATTGCCAGGGTGGCACTAGATTTTAGAGGAAATCTGCACTTTCGGAATCAAAACACCCCTTATTCATCCGCCAGGTGAATTAATCCGCAGTCGACATCATCATTGGGCTCCCTTTTCATTGGGGCGGCTCTCTTCCGGGGTGTGTTTCCGAATGTTGACGTTCAAAGGTGCGACGAACTCATGTTAAAACAGGATGTTGATCAACACCTGGCTGATCCGTGTGGCGCAACTTCCCCAAATTGCTGGGTCAACTTTGGCCCCTCGCCAGGGGCCAACCAGCTACATGCTCTTCCCTCGAAGGCTGTTCGCGCACCATCCATACATGTTCCTTTGGAATGGGGGAATGTCAACCTACACACGGAGTAGAAAAGGGGGCTATAAGGAATACGTGTGGGCACGCAACCTACAAGGTAGGTATTTCCTTTGGGCAAAGAAAGCCAACATATTGTATTGATGTTGTTTACCAAAAGCTTCCTTAAATCCTTCGGGCAATGAACAGTTTAGTTCGATCGTGTCGCACAAGGCGTCGTGGTGGTTGTTTAGACACCAGGATTTCGCAAGTGCACAAGCTCTTGACACCTGGTGCAGCTTTGTCGCAGTCGAGCCGGCTTACGCAAGCGTTGTTCGCCACGACCAGCTCTTGAGTGACACGTCTGCGCTCCACCTGTTGCTTTCTGGGGTAAGCAAAGCTTTTGGCTGCAGCCGAGCTTCTTGATTGCGTTTTTTCAGGGTCCGAACCTTTAAAGATGATCAAAGCACAAGGGCGGAAAGTTGGGCGAGCTGGATCAGAATTAGATAGGAATGGCCAGCTTCACCAGCCGCAACGCTAATGATGCCGCCTAGTTTCACATGAAGTACTCATGGGTGGCTTCATTGGGTTTTCCCCATTTGGCGTCCACGTCCGCGGACCCATCCCAATCAGCACTTTGAGCAGCGGTGGTGGAATTTGGTTCCTGATCTCAGGCTGTTGACCTCGTTTTCTACTTGCGAGCCAGGGCCATCCCCGAAAGGGGGCTGTGAAGCGAACGTGTGCCCCCCCCCCCTTGCGGGTGGTTCTAAAAGAGCCAAGGTCGAACACCCCGGCTTGGAATTGGGGAAGGCTACGCAAGGAACGTAACGTTGACGAAGGAGTGAAACAGATTATAGTCTCTGCACATTATAGACAGGTTTGCCCAAGAAACACACCGTGAGGGGCCTTTTTGGGCGGGCCGCTTTTGGAGTTATTTTTCAACGTCGGCAGGAAAGGGGACTAAGCTTTAGTCTGGGCCATGTCATGCGGGTTTGTCGCATGGGGGCACCTCCCAGAAGAGGTGCTTCGGCTTTCCTCTCAAAGTCAACCAGCCAACAAGGACCGCCCTTTTTCCAATGGAAAAGTTGGTTGAGGCCGTGGTTGGGTTTTGGTGGACTTGGGGTGGTTTGGGGTAGGCTTAGGGTAGACTTAGGGGGTTAGGGCGGTTCCCCGTTTCAGGGAAGCAACACGAGATCTCGCAGCGGCACGCAGGCCTATCCTGCGACTAATTTTGCCATGCGGTGCCCTGGCAGAAAAAAAAGGGGGCGCAGGCTTGGGTTCCACCAGAAAAAAAAGGGGGCGCAGGCTTGGGTTCCACCGGTTGCCTTTTTTCTTGGCTGCACGTTGGCTAGATCTGTTGATACTTTGGTTGGAAAGGTGCAAGTTGCGTTACGGTGAACTTTTGTGCGGTGCACCCAGCGGCGCAACATAATATTGATGATTTGTTGTGCACCAGGGGTCCATCCTTGCCTAGGGTTCGACCGCGGTGTTTGGTCTGTTTCAAGATACAAAAGTCTAACGCATGGGAAGCCGGAAGCCATTGAGGAGACTGCGATCCTGCCGGTCCTGCTGGCCCGTGCAAGACCTTGTTGTTTTTCCTCAACATCGGTATCGGGAGAAGGTAGGGTTGTCCATTTCTCAAGTCTAGTTTGTTTGGTTCTGCGGTAGCAGTTGCATAGAAGCACGACAAAGCGAGATGCGATGCCACTACTCATGCCGACTTGAGCAGAAATCCCAGCTGCACACCAGTTGTTTGCGCAAACATTCTTGCTGGAGAAGATGCTCTTTCAGTCGCAAACTTGAAGCAGCTGCAGTGCTTGAAAAATCCGGTTGCGATTGACCACTACCACTACTGCCACCACGACTACTACCACTACCACTATTTCCACTGCTGCTACTACTACTAGCACCACCACTGCCACTTCCACGAATACCAATGCCGCCACTGCCATTGTCGGTCCATCCCTCCGACTGGCTGTCCGAACGGAGGCGCCCGCTGCGACGTCTCAGTCGAGCACCGCCTTGGCTGCAGGCCGGCTGGACGGGGGCGTGCCGCGCGTCCGAACGGGAGCGTGTCCGCATATGTTGTTGGAGAATGCGCAATGGTCAAAAGGCCAGTTCCTTTACTTGGGGTTAGCAGAGATGGTCATCCACCTGGTACTAAGGATGCAACCATTCTATTGCTTCCTGTTGAGGGGGTCCTGACCATAGGCCATTTACGGAGTTTTGTCCATTTGACCCAAATTCTAGGAAAACGTTTGGTGTTGGAGGTGTCCCTTTATTGGGTCTCTGAGCCCCTCTCCATAGATGCGCATGCTATTTGCTAGAGGAATGCTTGCTGGACGGGGGTAGCCACAAGGCCCAAACCCAAAACGTGGCCACAGGCAAAGTGCATTGTGTGGGAAGTGATCTTTCCTGGAATGTCCATCTCCGGGACTATTTTATCACATTGAAAAGGATTTCCCTGGCATCACAGACAAGTAAGTAGATCTTCAAGAACCATGATCTCAACGGTTGCCTCGATGCATTTTTGATCCATGTTTTGCTAGGGTCCTACCATCTCATTCAACAGGTACCGTCAAAAGACGCCCCGATGGGCTGATTTTCTGCAAGCAAGCAGCACGTGAATCGTGAACACTTTAATGGTTTCTAAAGGCAATTCACGACGAACTCAAATTCAATTGAGAAGGGCTGGAACCACATCGAACGGAAAGAGGTGAGATTTATACACTTCAGGACTGTCCATGGAGTATTAAAATCTCAGCGTGAATACGGGGAGCCATCCCTAGCCCAGCGCTGGATAAACGAGATAAACCCTCAAATCCTTGAACAGACTCGTATCCCCTCTCCTCGCCCAAGTCGGGTTCCATCGTGGAACGAAACAAGAACTGAATTATACGCAAATACATCTTGATGCGTTCCAATTTGAGATTTTGACGAGATTATGCTTCTCAAACGCCTGGATCAAACTTGCGGATTTCCACCCACAAATCAAGAGATCAAGGTCGATCCGCGTACACTAGAGAAACCAACCCATTTGTTGGCCTTCCTCATTTTGAGACATCAATTTGCAAACTCCAGCTCCTACGAGCACCGTTGTTCGTTGCCAGCACCAAACCCTGTACAAAAATATACAAGGTGGATGCAAATATACCGTGCAGCATACAAATCCACCCCGATGAGCAAAAAGCCCTTCAAGAATGTATGCCATGTTATTTCCAGGGAAGCACCAAATGGGAACTCAACAACAATACAATCTCAGACTGCCAGGAATCGGAACTTCCCAGTTTATCACGAGCTCTGCGGTTCCTGCTTGTGGCAAAGCCCGTGTTCCGCCTTCTGACAAGATAGAAGTTGTCCATTTGCGACAGTCATTCATTTGGGTGTGGGGGGGGAGCATGTGCAGGTGGATACAACTCCCATTTTGCTGAACTGAATCCTTGTCATTTTCCCCTTTGGGTTTAAAAAAAAGGAATCGCTTTCACCCTCGGCCATTTTTTCTGCTCATGTTGTTTTTCCCCCCCCCCAAAAAAGGCGTCTTTCGCAAAGGGATGGGATATCTCCGACCCCCGGCGCCCGACTTCTTTGAGGAAGAGCGCCTGGATCCAGCAGCTGCGTCTGCAGCATCCGGGCCTCGGGGCCGCGCTGGTGCTGCTCAAGACATGGGCACAGAGGCGGGGAGAGGCGAGAGGCAAGAGGCAGCTGAGCGTGTGCTTCCAGTTGCTTCTCGAAGGAACCAGGTATGACAACTCGGTTTTTCAGGATGGTTTTTTGCCTTACTCGAGTGGCTTGCCTTAGAAGCGCTGGGTTCACCTTTGAGCTCTTTGCCTGCAGAACTTTCGAGGTCGGGTCGCCGGGCAACAGGCTGTGGCGGAATCCGTTCGCACCACTTTGAAACCATTGAAACCACTGTGGTTGGTGGTATTTGAACGGGAATCGAATCTTTCCAGGGTTTCTTGGAAGGTGCAAAATGTGGTCCTTCCACGGGCTTGAGGATGGCCCTTCAGTTCCAAGCAACCCAAACCGAGTAAGCCTCGGCTGCGGTGTTTTCATGAGCTGTGTAGCTCGTAAGCTCAATTCCCCATGGCGAATGGACCTTAAGAGATCTCTCGCTTTCCAGTTTTGACCCGTTTGCGCGGGTCCCACAACACAGGGAGCAGACTCCGAGCTGTTCCTGAAAGCCGGAAACCCGCCAGGAGGTTCGTTTTCGCGGTGTCCCTTCAAACTCCCAGGTTGATTTAGCGGGAGCAACCCTGAAAAAGTTGCTGGTGAGATTTACCTTGTGCAAGCTATAGTTGAGGGCACTGGCGGGTACCCTCTCGACAAATACCCCCCCCACTAAAGCCATGTAAGGGTCTCGTAGGCAGAGGGTACCCATGCGCGGGGGGGGGGGTCTGAGAGTTCTCTTGATAGCAAAGAGTCTGCCCCACTTGTGTTTGGGCTTTCCTTTCTTGCTGGTTCGTTGCGAATGAGGCCATGACCCCTACCAGCCCTTGTGGTTTTCTTCTAGGAGATCTGATCCCAAATCTCATTCCCAGAAAGCTGTTTTCTTTTTGCCAGTATGTTTCTCGGACTCGCAGGCTTGGCTCTTCTCCCAGGAGCAACCCAAACAACACGACGGTCTCTGCCCCGCTTTTGTTCCACCTTGTTTCCCCCCTTTTTGCCAGGGGCATGTGGGTTTCCGTTTGGCTTCGCTCACAATCCAAGGCGTCTCGCCCGTTCCCATTTTGCCCATTCTCTTTTTATCCTCGCGGCTTTCAATAGGGAATTCGGTGGTGATCATCAACTTTTGTTTAAAATAAAAAGTCCAATTGTTCCTGTGGTGGAGAAGATTGGACACATGGAATTGGAGACCCCGCACAAACACCGTTTTACCCTTTTTCAACGGCAGCCTGGCAGGTGTTGCGGTTCATAGGGTTCTCCCCTGCCTTTTAGCTGCTCCGCCTCTCTCTGCCGGCCCAAGCGAAGCCCAAATCCCAAGCGAACACCGATGTGTTGCTTCACACAAACAAACGGGTTTGCAAAACAGAGCAAGCTGTTTTGACAGGGGACCTGATCATTTCAAAACTTCCTACAGGCATAACTATCAGGGTTTGCCCTGTCTTCAAGATCTGGCGGAAACATCTAAACATCCCCACTTCCACACAAACCTCTAAAAGTTCATCAAACCAACGCGTAGAAGCCCAGACTGGCTTTATGTTGTTTTTCTTCGGGAGCAACCTTCTGTGCCGAACTGGTTCTTCGGAGGACCCTTTTTTTCCAGAAGCTCCCTCCCTCTCAGAACACATTTCCCACACAGACACTCTGCAAACTTCCATATTCCACGTGTTTTTGTTCCGCATTTGTTCCTCAAACCTTGGGATGTCTAAACCGCCAAAAGCTGCTGCCGCTTCCGGCCGTGAGGCGTCAAGTCTACGGTCAGTCTGTGGGCTTCCCCTCGGGCCTCGGCTTTAACTGCCTCGGCCTCTTCGCTGTGCAGCAAAGCCTGCCGCAGGACGGGAAACCGATTTGGTGCAAGGGGGCACTTGAGCCACTTCCTGAAAACGCGGGTAAGAGGGCAGTAAGGGATTCCCCTGCCAGAAATGGGTAACATCCGCCTTAGTTCTCGAAGCATGGTTCTGGGTAGGCCATTTCAGCACCGATCGGTTTTGATTGTGACTCACTTAGTTCCCGTTCAGCCAGTAACCTCACTTGGACCCATTGGTGAGTTTTCTGGGGCGAAGGGGCAAATATGGGGAGCCCGGTGAACGAGCAAGCCAAAAAGATTGAGAAAGGGAGAGACAACGGACATGTGGAGACTTGAGATTTCACCAGGATCAAGGGAGTTTGGAGCCCTTTGATTGATTGGGTTGCCAGCCCCCTTTTGGTCAGAAAATCCAACCCCGAGCTCCGGACTTGGGGTTTGCCTTTTACTCTACAGCCATTGCCGTTTCAAGCTAGGGGGGAAGACTCGGTTGGAAATCTGTTGCCTTGAAAACCACCGGATGTTTAGTTTGGGACAACTTCAAAGGCTAAGGTGAATGAAGTCGTGGCTAAGGGGTTTGGACTTGTTTGACCGGCCAAGCTGCTCCGACTCCCAGGTCCGATCCCATGAGACCGTTGAAATTGGGAATGGCTCCCGCGGCGGTTTATTTTGTGATCACGTGCTACCTTGGGTCAGATGAGAAAAAATGGCTGCTCCCCTGGCCGAATCGAATTCTTGTTTGGGACGGTTGGTTGATTTGGGTGCTTTCGCCATGACATTTTTTCGATACAGTAGTCTTAAAAGGGCACCCTGCTCTACAAGCGGCAAGTTATTATGCTATTCTCAAAACATTGGATTGTGGGGGCTGGATGTCATTGCCAGTTGCAGGGTAGCGGTCGCTGAATGGACTCAGTGATTTGTGCGGTTTATCCATCAACATGAACCGACCCTCCTTTTTTGTGGGGAGAGGGGGCCTGAAAAACCTAGGCCACTCGTAATTTTTGGTAGCTACCCATAAAAGTTGCCTCTTTGGAAGGATCAACCATTGCGTGGCGGCGAATCTAAGACTCTTCCCAAAAAAAGAGCAATGTTCGGGTGGGACCTTGAGTGACACTTGATTGGCGGTTCTCCTTTCAAAAGTATGTTCTTGGACCATATTGTTTTTATACGTCCTCCATCGAAGGGTTGGTGACATGTCCTGGAGTTTCTTTTTGAATGGATCCGGCTGCTGTCCACTGTGAAACCCAAAGGACACCAGCCAGAGGACCCACTTCCCGAGTCGCTCGGCCGGCAGGTCGGGCTTGTGGAGGTCCCCGACTTTGCTCCCGAGGCGAAGGCCGGGGGGGCACACCAACCCAAAAAAAGAGCACGGCACCGTCCCTTTCGGGACGAAAACACGTCCCAAAGGTGGGCAAACGGAGTAAAGTAGGCAAATGGCTTGAAACAAATTAAAATGATGTATTCAAAAATGCAACGGAAGAAACCACTTAACCAGGCAATCAAATTTGATCGCCTCTAGGGTTTGCATGGCAAAAGGGATGCCTGTTGTTTGTCAAAGACCTATGTGGATTTGAGACTCATATGGTATGGTTGGATTGATCAGTATTTTGTATGCTCAACTCAACCCACCCTTTGACTCTCCGTGACCATTTCCTTCCAACTTCTTGGAGGAACCCTTCCGTGGTAAATCCTGGTACTTGATTGGTACTTCATTGGTACTTCATTGGTACTTCATTGGTACTTGATTTGCTTTGTACTTTCGTTTCTGCAAAGTCCAACAGCAAAAGGGGCACCCATGTTCTTGCGTCTCCCCCCGAAGATGTCGCGAACGTCTCGATTCAGGCGTGGCACCAAGAGGATCTCAGCGCCGTACCCTCGTTGGTGACCCGCATCTTCCGCTTCTATGCGGCGCCTTGGCGTCAACTGCAAGAGTGGAGAAGTAGCGGCCACACCTTCTTGTTAATTGCGAAGGCAAAAAGGTGTGTGCGTGTGTGTTTTTAAGACAACTTCTTCAGCCCCCAATGAGACGGATGTTTGGTTTGAGAGTCTTTTGGAGGTCATGGGCTTGAACCGGATCTGGGTAGGTGGGGTTTACCACCCTTAACCACCAAACCACCAGGCTCCAAACCACCCTTTTCTAGGGGGAAGCTGAAATGGTTCCTTTGCATTTTGAACAAAGGATGGTTGCAAATTAGACAACCCACCTACTTTGATGGTTGGAATCCACCCCCAACCAAGTTTTTCATGATGGTTTTGCCTTACTAGAGTGTGCCTGGAGGACCTAGTTGGAATCCACCACCCCTACCCTCGACCAAACCTTAACCGATTGAAAAGAAGGAGGGTTGCAAAGAATGGAAAAGCAATCCACCCCTACAACTTTTAGACAACCCCCTTTGCTCAGGAAGACTTCGACTGGCACAGCGAGCTCGTGTCCATCCGCCTGGCCCGCCGCAGCGCCAAAGCCGCGCGGGGGGACGTCCGGGTGCTGGCGATCGAGGACCCGGCGCCTTGGAGCGCTGACCATGCGAGTCCTTAGATCTTTAGGCTTTGGATGGTTCAGTGGTACGTTTTTGTTGGTGTTTTTAGGGTTTGGTTGGTTTTGTGGTATGTATTTTCGGTTTTTCTTCAGGTCTTGGCTGGTTTAGTAGTATGTTTTTGTGTTTGTTTGTTTGTTTGTGTTTTTTTTTTTGGGGGGGGGGGGGTTCAGGCTTGTTGGTGTTTTTTTTTAGCCCACGGCCTCTTTGGTGCCCTCCTTCGGTGAAATGGTCAGGTAGCCTCTCAACATGGAAGTGTACCATCCCCTCTCCAAAAGGAGAGTAGCTAGGTCTTCTTTTACGGCCCTTTGACCAACTTTTTCCAGGGGAGGGTTCCCCTACTAACATAGACAAAACCGAAAAAGAGTTGGTACCAACTTATTCTAAATTCTCTACTGGAGGACCATCCGCAAAAACTGGGCGGCCTCCGAAAAACGCTTCGATCTTCGATCTTCGATCCGGAGCTGTATCCCTTAGGTAGAGACATACTTGGACCTGGCGAGGCCCTACATGAACCAGGCGGGGACGAGGGCAAAGCAAAAGTTTAACATGCAAACGGGTCTATGTTTTTTTTTTGGGGGGGGGATATGGTGGCCAAGCAAGGTCCATTTTGCAAAAGTTTATCCTTATCCTCCGTTTGGGAAGGATCAACGATAGTAGTTCAATGTTTCCATTTTGGTGACCGGTGCAATGTTTTGGGCTGAGATAGAATGACCCCTGAAGAATCATGGAGGCCTACCCATGTTGATGTCTAATGCGAATGGACTGGAGGTTTGGCAATCAACTCACAGTACTAACTTACACAGACAGACAGGCAGACAGGCATACATGCATGCATATATATATATATATATATACATATATATGTATATATATATATATATATATGTACATACATACATTACATACGTACATACATTACATTACATTACATTACATTAAGTTACATTACATTACATACATACATACATATACATATACATATACGTATACGTATACGTATACGTATACATATACAGTACATATACATATACATACATATATATGCATATGCATACACATGCACATACACATACACATACACACACACATACACATACATACATACATACACACACATACATACATAAACACATACATACATTCATTTATACATACATACATACCATACATACCATACATACCATACATACCATACATACCATACATACCATACATACCATACATACCATACATACCATACATACCATGCATACCATACATACCATACATACCATACAAACCATGCATACCATACATACCATGCATACCATACATACTACACATACATCACATACATAGCATACATCACATACGCTACATTCATTACGCACATTCCATACATGCCATACATACATAACATACATCACATACGGTACATTCATTACACACATTACATACATTGCATACATTGCATTACATTAAACTGCATTCCATGGCATTCCATTGCATACATGCATACATACATACATACCTTTGGATTACAAGTAAACCGTTGCATGTCGCACTGCAATGTTTCAGGGCTTTTCCCTAATCTGGTAAGATCCCAGTTGCTCATACTGGTGGATCGGCCATCGACTCGGAACCGAGGCCAGGTCTGAGCTCCTGCGGCGGGAGATGTGCGCGGCAGCCGCCAGCTTGGGCTCCGGGAGTTGGGAAGGCTTCCAGTGACCGATTTCCGATGCCCGGCGCGGCCGGGCACCGGCGCAGTGGCTCACTGGGTGCGGCGGTTTTCAAAGCAAATGGACCCAAGAAGAAACGGCGCGGCGGTGTTCCTTTGGGCTTCCCTGTACAAAATAGGACCGGAAAGGGAGAAACAAACCCATTTGCCCTTTTCAGTGGGTTTTAGATCAATCTCAAAAAGTTCCCTTGTCGGGTCAAGTGGCAACTGTGCTTGTGCTAAAATCCAGCGACCCATGGGCAATATGTGCTACAAATAGCCACTAGCACCCCTAAAGGGGAACCTGCCAGTGGAGGTGGAGTTTGTTGTTGTCTTTTTCTCGCATGTGGTCTGATCCACCGCGGAAGTTGATCTCCGTAGACTCTCCTCGTTTTTCAAGTTGGTCTATGGCGAACCCCAGCGTTGCGGGATTTAAGAGCGTGTGGCTGCTCGTTGGTACGACCAAACAAGCCGTTCATCCATTTGAAACATGATTAAATATTCCTGAATTTGCAAGAGTCAGCAGAAATCCATATATATATATAATCTGCTGGAAGGATCTTTGCAGTTTCATGCTGCCATGTACGTGGTTGCCCCAAATTTGGGGGGAATTATCATGAGCCCTCCAATAGTGCCAACCACTCACCGAAACCTTTGTCTCAGATGTAAAGCGAGGGATTGTGGGAGTGAGGGTCTTTCGAGAGCATCCCAATTCAAATGAGAGACAATAGCGCCCCGACCCGTCGGAAAGGTTTCCCGAACCTTTGGTGGAGTCCTTGGCGTCGAGAGCCGGCTTGCCGCTGGAAGGCTCACCGGGCTGTGGGAATGATTTGTCAACCACTCTGACACTTCCGAACCCTTCTGCAGAGCTAGCCCTTGGAACGGCCGCTCGTTTCCCAGTGGAATAGAAGTCATATCCCACAGCCTTTCGGATAGACGAGCGAGCCTTCATAGAAATTGGCTTCGTCCGTTGAGCTGTGACAGGACCAGGTCATGATCGAATTCTGTTCAGCGGGAAAGACGTCTTTGATCCTTTGCTCTTCGGAACTCGATCTGGGGGGGTTGTCAACTTGGAGCGTTGAACCTGCCAAATGGTAGTGGTCTTCCGCGGTATCCCACTACGACTAGGGATTGGGGTGTTTTATTACGGATCAGGGATTGCACCATGTTGAACAATCACAAGAAACAGCGGTGAAAGCGGCCCCTTCGGCAACATTCTGAAAGTGTTCCCTTGCGGTCCACATGCGACTTATGTCGTTCGCAGGTGTTTGATGCTAGGCCAGAAGAATAAAGCACCGAAGCGATGCCGAGTGGCACGAATCCATAAGCCTCTCCCCAGCAATGTACCTAGCAAGAACCTCAAACGAAACACTGTCGCTCGCATGTCCTGATTCAATCAGGTGGTTGCTCTTTGCATCCAAACCACATTCCTTTTGGAAGAAGTGTTTCCAGGCCTCTGGAAGCTGGTTAACTCGTTGCAGGTTGTTTGGGATTGATCCTCACGGCTCTTTTGAGGCTTCTTGTTCTGTTCGGTTGATC